AAAAAATATACATATAGGAAATTTTATTTTAAATTAATTATAGGATTATATACAATAGTATTATATATAATATATTGATTATAGTATTAATTATAGTATTATATATAATATAATGAAAAATAAATTCTGCAATACATCAAGAAAGTAATATATTTACTTCAAACGTACATAAATGTATTCACAAAACAATTATTTGAATACACGACTACTAATTTGTACTATTTAAAATTATTTACATAATTACAACATTTAATCTAGATGAAATAATACAAGAAAATATTATTAACACAATTTTTACACAGTTTATTTTTATAAAATTTATATCCTAATTTTGAATGTTAAAATGACATTTTTATATCACAATTAAATGTTACGCTTTATGAGTCAGATATATGTTCTATAAATTAATAATTTAATTATTACTTACTTTGATTTCACTACTTTTTGAAAATGGGAAAAAACTGGATATTTGTTCCATAATTTTAAATACAGGATACCATGATGTATAATTTTCCTCTTTCGATAAATAAGATGTGAGTTTTTTGAAAAGATTAAAGTTGAGTTGGCCTTTTAATAGAAAATGGTACGCATCATCAATGAGCTGAGCACGATTAAGAACATGTATTTTGCTATATTCAGATGAGAGAAGACATTTCAAGATATTTTCCCATAATCTGTCGTCGTATTTAACACGATAATATCCTTTGGCATACAAAAATTTCATAATTAATTATAATTTAATATACAATATATATAAAACTTTGCTATATATATATATGAAATTAATATCATAATGTATATAAAATTGATATATAATATACTATTTGGTTCATATTTACCAGCTTGAGCTACATTAGCGATAATCCATTCATCTTTTGTTGTATTAGCCACGCGTAAAATTGGGTTACTGCGGTGTAGCCAATGTTTAAATACAATGTTTAAATTATTATAATAGCGATAATTTTGTCTAATGTATGTTACATGAATCCATAAACCTTTTGGAAATAATTTATCGGAATTATTTTGTGATAATGTTATTATCACTTTGCTTGTATTTTGTATCGTTTGTACATTTAATACAAGATAGCGTTTTTGTATTATCCAATTATTCATCCTTCTTCCTAAGTCCATACTTTTTCTCTTATAAATATTTTTTAAAGTTTCTTGCATAATATTGAAGAATTTATTGGAAATACTATTCGATGTGTCGAAAGATTTATCCTGACTAAAGTTGTAAAAATTTATGTATATTAAATTTATATTAAAATGTAACATAAAAAATTATACAAAGGATACTAAAAATATAATATTATTTAATTCATTTATTCATGTGTTAATTTAGTGTAATTTACATGATTAAATACATAACATATCTTATGATTAATACTCACTGGAGAGCTACATAACGACTGAGACCTGACATAAACACATCTTTGGGAATTGTTTGTGACAGCATGTGTATGAAAACAGGTGCTATAGCAATTAATATCATAAAAGATAATTAAGCATGATTAGATAAACTAATAAATATATAAATTAATTGTGATTTTCATAATAAATATATCATAATAAATATATAAATTAATTGTGATAAATTAATTGTGATTTTCATAAATTTCTACGTAATTATTTTTTGTAAAAGAGAAGATAAGTTCTAAATTTTAATAACATATACATATATTTTTTTGCAATAAAAATTATATAAATAAATTGCAAATAAATTAGTTAAGTAATCTTTTGTTATATAATATGTGAGTTTGAAAACATTGTAAAAACATTATAAAAATAAAGCTTAAAAATTTTTTTACAAATAATGAATTTAACTATATTCAGTATTATATATTCAGTCTTACCTTTAATATAACGAGTAAAAGGAAACAATGAATTAATACCAGATAATTCATTGACTTTTGATACAAGAGGCATATCGTAATAATCATTCAAATGAAGAGACTCGTGTTGAAATTGCACTACGAATAGATTCAACATTGTGTAATCAAGTATCTACAAGCAAAAGTTTCAATCAATATAATATAATACAATATAATAAGTGTTATCAATATCATATAATTCTTATCTTTAAATAATATACTTAAGAAATATAATAAAAATTTAAATAAAAACATATAGAATTGAACAGATCTTTGTCATTGTTTAAAATATCAAGAAACTAATTTTTATGATATAAATATTAGCAAATTTCTTTTATATTTTATACAAAATATAAAAATTTGGAAAATTTGATTTATCAATATTCGTTAATTCTAAATCTAAAATTAATATTTAATCATTAAAGGTTTTTTACATATTTGTAATATTAATGTTTTAATTCCAATAATGAGACTATCTAACAATCTGTAATCTGTAATTTATAACAAAAGCAACCTTGTCAACAATTTTCATTCCTAAAAAGGTGGCAACACCCTCATTTATCCATAAATACGATCCCCAAGATTGTCCGATCATGTTGCCAAAGAATTGATATACTAATTTTCGTGCTACTGTGAATGCCACAGTCATTTGTTGTGCTCCGCTAAAAAAGTCTACATCATAAAGAACAGCTGCCTCACTAAAATATAATTTAATTATGAATGTCTTTGTATATTAAACCTATGAAATTTAATCTTTATCATCTAAATTTTCAGGTTTCATTGTTTTTGATCACTATTTTAAGCTGTATAATTTTGAGCTTAAATTTTCTTAGATATTGACATAAATTAAATATACAATTTTTATTGTTAGTAAATTTATTGTAAATTTCTAGTTTTATACACACAGTACCTATAAAGAATGAGTCCCCGTGCTTCCACACCTTTATCTTGAAAATTTCGTACTACTATAATCTTCATATTTCGTGGAAATAGCGTTTTAGATATTTTTTTTTGTAAGTATTCTATGGAAGCTTTAATCATCCACTGAAAGAAGTCTAACCACATGTCGTTTTTACTCCAAATTTGGATGTTTACCTTGACTGGTATGTCATTATCGTTAAATTTATAATTAGAGCAAGCGTCGGTAAGACGGCTGAATTTGTGCAATACAATCGCTATGAGATAAGGAGAGATGTTAACAGATGTATACTTTATGAAAGTTTTGTCTTCGTCTCCAGTTTTTTCGGAAATCCTTGTATTTGTTACAATTTTATAATCTGAACAATGCTGTATGGAGATAGAAAAATTAGTTCTAATATCCGGCCTATCACAGTACGGAAATGCAGGACGAACACCTATTCCATGCAGATTGGATGCGATCAACCATCTGTGACATTTTAAAAATAAATTTTTAATTTTAATTATTACTAATATATAGCATGTGAATGTTAGAGATTATTATAATGCTACTTATGACTTCAAGAATAACATTTCTTATATTTTCTATTTTATTGTATTACTGCATGAAACATATATTTTCTAGATAAAACATATTTTTATAACATAAAGTATTAATAATTTACACGTTTTTCGATTTATATATATCAATATGTTTATTACATTTAAATCATTACATTTAAGTAAATTGAAATCAAATATATAAGTGAATAAAAAGAAAGATTTATATCTTGTAATAATATTTTCTCAGTCTCTAACATATTTAAATTTATTACATTTGTAAAGTGCTCTACTCACACTGTATCAGTTAAATTTGATTTCCAATAATTGTTTGTGTTAATCATAATTCCAACAAAGTTTATTATCAGATGATAGATATTAGATGGTAAAAATTCGTGATCAAAGTTAATGACAACTGTTTGCGTTTTATTATCATATGTATACATTATCGGTTTTATCACTTTACGATCTATCGAAGTAAAAACTTCGGTTCCTGTTTCATCTATTTTCAGATTTAATACGTTCAAACGTATTAAGTTTGTTTTATTAGAAACTTGAAAATATGACGTAAGATTACCATAAAAAAGGGTATTGCCTTTTGCTCGTTGTTCGTTTATATATGGTCTAAATGTACTATATATATCATACATATTGAATTTTATTAAAATTGAAATATCTTCAATGAATGGTATGAAGTGAATATAATTGTCAAATGGTTTTATTAATTGCTTATCTGCATACACATTATTTTTTGTATCATTGTTAATAGCATCGTTTAGAGTGACAAATATAAGATTAATACTTAGGAATAATTTTAATAATTCCATAATGATTGTCACTTTACATATCTGTAATAATGTTTCTTTCGTCACAGAAAAGAAAAATTGACAAAATATAATGCGGAGACTATATTAATATCAATAATAAAAATTTGAAATTATCTTAACGTCGGTTAAAATCCATATTTTCCACATTATTCATACATTATTCAAACACAAATGAATTGTTATTCTATCTGTTAAAGCACAATTGTGTTGCAATTTTATAAAAATTTTATTTTTATAAACTTTATTTTTATTTATTTTTATAAAAACTTTACTAGTAGCAATATCTGCATTGCAATGAAACTCTTTTTTACTTTATTCTTTTTTATTAAAAATTCCTATTAGTC